GCCAAGCGGGCTGCAGCCCAGGCGGTTGCGGAGGCAAAAACTCGGGTCTGGGAAGAGTTCGGTGAGGCCATGGAGAAGGACTATCGGTTGGTCTCGAAGAGATTCTGGCAAACTGTCCGGCGCCCCCGGAGGGGGAAGCAGTGCCCTGCCAAAACTGTTTACAGTGGAGGTGGACAGCTGTTGACCTCAACTGGGGACATTGTCGGACGGTGGAAGGAATACTTTGAGGATCTCCTCAATCCCGGCGCCATGTCTTCCGATGAGGAAGCGGAGGCTGAGGGCTCAGAGGTGGACTCGTCCATCACCCAAGCTGAAGTCACTGAGGTAGTCAAGAAGCTTCTCGGTGGCAAGGCACTGGGGGTGGATGAGATCCCCCCCTGAGTACCTTAAGTCTTTGGATGTTGTTGGGCTGTCTTGGCTGACACTGTGAGGAGGTCACTGATGTAATCTGGGTAGTTACAGTAATCTAGTCCACAGGGGGAAAGCATGAATACATTTTTTGATACGGTCATGAGAGAGAAATGGTGTGACCTTGGTAATGTTCTTTAAAAGAGAAAATGCCACTTTGTAGTATTACAAATGTGCTTGAGACTTTAATTTGCTGTCAAAGTTAAGCCCCAGGGTCCTAGCTGTAGTGTTGAGTGTGCACTGAGATGTGAAACACAATTCTCTCTTTTGGCATGTTCCCTAAAAATCTGAGTCTCTGTTTAGTCCTTGTGTGATGACTCCTCTCTCTTCCTTTGACAGGCTGTCAACACAGTCCATGCTGTACTCATACACAGGTAAGTGCAGTCTCCCCTAATCTGTTTTCTGGTGTGCTCATATAAAGTAATTATGGTTAGCGTTAGCAAAACATGTTAGTCAGGCAAATAGGATCCCAAAGTTGGAAGAACAGGTGAATGGTTCCTTTCTTCATGTTGCTTAAAGGTAGTCATAGCTGTACTGCATGATGGGCCACCAAGAAGTGATTTTATTTTATTTTATTTTATTTTATCTGTGTGGAAAATAACTCAGAAGTGGAGACACTGTTGATAGATAATTAGCTATGTCCTTCATTCTTTGCTTTGCTTTCTTTTAGAGTTCACCACTGGCATTTAGAAAGGAATGTAAACCAGTAAAACCAAATGGAGAAATTACAATGAGAGGAGGACATGAGATAAACTTATGCCACTGTAGCAACAGATGCCTGTGTATGGATGCAGTGAAAAACATTCAGATGTAGGACTGGAGACAAAGTTGGTGTTTATGGTGATGCATTAGGAAATAAAGGACTGTGGATTCCACAAGGTCACATTCAACTCAGAAGCTATTTTTTCTAGATTATCCAACATACTGTTGTAGCAACATGTACAGTAGACTTCACACAAACTGTGCATTTAAATCTATTAGCTGCAGAAATGTATGGGTTTAGTAATTCAGTTGTAGCATCATTAAAGTTTTGCAGGTTGCTACACGTTTAGGGAAATATTTGTTTCTTATATCAGCCAAGACTTAAACAATCAACTTGAAGTCAAGGCCCAAAACTTAGAAAAGACATCAAAGTACCTCTAGTTATATCTTCACAAACATTACACTTGATGGCTGGATACGATGTCGCAGCTGTGAGCCATGAAAAGGTTATGTTATGGTTCAGTAAAGTGCTCTGAGTCAAGTCACCGGAGAAGCAAAGTTAAGACTGCACCAGCATTTAAATAGTTAAAGCTTTGAAGCAGGAAATTTCAGGCTTTAGAAGGTCATCCTGGTTCTGCCTGAGGTCTTTCCTGTGTTCCTGGCAAAAAGAGGGTGAAGGCATTGGTCCAGCTGAATGCAACTCCAGCAGCACAGACAACTGAAACCAGTGAGGCTTTTTCTTCATCCTCAGTCCAAAAGTTATTTTATCACTTCACTGTTAGCTATGGAGTGTGGAGTTTATTTATTTAAGGTTCTTACCAACTGCATGAGATTAGTCAGGTTATATTGCACATTCTTAATGCATGAGGAAGAGCTGTGCACGCACACTTTGTGTTCTAGATTTAATAGATAAAATTCCTATCTACACTCAATAGCCCCTGATAACACCCATCCAATCATTATCTATACCACTTATGCTAACGAGGGTCGTGGGGGTCTGGAGGCAGGGTCCACCCTGGTCAGGTTGCCAGTCTGTCGCAGGGCAGGCATGTAGACATACAACCACTCACACTCACGTGCACATCTGCTGCAGCAGGAGGTAAAAACTGGGTGCAGTCGAAAAATTCTGCTTTTACAGTGGCACGGGTGGATGTCACGCACGCTCACATGAACACGCTTAGAGATTATGGACTGTATTTATATAGCGCATATTTCACAGTGTGTTACACTGGCCAAAGCTTTTTACAGGAGATCATACACATTCACACACCGATGACGAGAGACTGCCACACACTGGTGCCAGTCGAACCACCGGGAGCAATATGGGGTTCAGTGTCTTGCTCAGGGACACTTAGGTATGCAAGGAGACGAACCACCAACTTGCTGGTCAGAAGACGACTGCCCTAGCTCGTGAGCCACAGCCACCCCATTTAAGGATTTCCTTAAACTATTAAGTAATACTTCCTTTTGTTAGAAAAAAGTCTTGCAAGCGAGAGTTTGTCAAACGTGTATAAACCAAGTTGTTTCTGCATACACATACTGGAGCATATGTAGACCTAATTTTTTGAGCTTTAGGTGATGTCTAAGATAATTTAACGTTATAGATAAATCAAAACGCATGGACCATGGGCTCCTTAAGCATTTCTTACAGCAAAACACCTGGTAGTTTTATTTTTCTTGATGAGTTGCTCCTTAAAAATTAAAATGCATTGTGTGCAAGCATTTATAACAAGTCAGGCAGGAGTCATGGACATTGTAGCAGAAAAACAAAAATTTATTTCAGAAAGGGAAATACATGACTGACAGTGCATGCCAGCCACACATGCTGTGCACTCATAACAAAACTGAGAAAACAAGCAAATAGAAAAACATTTGCTCTTAACATCATGTCTTTCCTGACATATTTCCAACATTCCTCCCTTTTTGATACAAGCAGTCACATGCAGAGTTTCTATAGTGACACATTTGGTAATAGCAGCTTGGTACCTTAACAAACTTATCTCAAAATCATCAGATAAATGTGCGATTACCAAGGAGGGAAAGAAAAGGCTGAATGACTCAGGTTTGATCCAAAGCAAAGGCCACTTAGAGTCATATTAAATACTATTCTCTTTTGAATGTGCAAATGTTAGTGTGCATTCAACTGTTTCTTTAATCAGAGAAGCATTTCATCACCATGCGCTTCCTGTGCTTTCCCTTCAATATGAAGGACTTGATCAGCTCCATTTCCATGTCTTCAGCTGACAGACATCACCTTGAAATGGACATCTCACCCAGTGCATAGTTAAACAATTCATCAGGCCTTTGGAAAGGGCTTAACATTAGTCATGGGTTGAACAAATAGTCTGCTTTTTAGTGGTCAGGCACTCTGAGAAGGCACATTAATATTTTACAAAAGAGGAATATGTGAAAGGCAACACATTTCCCCCATAAATTCCTTGCCGGCTAACTACAGTTCATCACATCTTTCCAGCCAAATGACCGTATGACAACATAAAGCAGGCAAGTTGAGCACATTACAGCACTTCCTCTGCTATAACTTGATGCCTAAGTTTAGTTTCTGGCTGAGAACCAGCCTGAGCTCAGACCCACAGCTGGATTCATGCTCATTGCCCTGTCAGTATCTGTTATGTTATTTCAGTGCCATGTCAGCAAACATTCAGATATATTCACCAGTAAGGCACAGTGTTATCAATCTGACCCCAGCTCTGCCAGCCAGGGAAGAGTCCGCTGGACATGCGTGGGCTGCCAAACTGATCACATTCCATCTCCAGTGGCTTCCCACTTTTGTGCCGTGAAGGTTGCTTCTGCTCAACAGAAGTTGGGGTTGTCACAGCGTTCAGGCCCTTTCTGATACAGTCGATGTGCTTGAGAGCATAGTTCTTACCGTCGTTATTGTCCCAGAAGGTCTGGCCCTGGACCTTGAAGCAGATGCAGAACTCGACCCGATTCTGTGGTGGGACTTCAGCAGGCAGCTCCACCACAAATGAGAAGGTGTCAGTGTCCGGGCAGCCATAGATGTTGTTCATGAAGGTGCACTCTACATCTGTGAAGCTGGCCCATGAGTCAAAGGTGGTGCGTATCTGCACGGACTTCTCGAACCCGATATTTCGGACCTTAATGGTGCCAGTCAGAGAGCGCTCCTGCAGTGAGCAGCTTTCCAAGCAGACTGAGTTCTGAATCAGGCGGTTCCGGAAGTCCAGGTAGTCAGCTGAGGGCTGTTTAAAGTCCAGTGCCAGGCTGCGCACCGAGCTGATCTTTAGGTCCATTGTTTCCAGGTCTGTCATGTCAAACTGCAGCTCGTCCATGATTCCTCCACAGCACTTGTTTTGATACAGGTCATCGTCAAACTTGGAGAACACATGGATGGCAGTGAGTGACATACCCTTCGTGTCTGCAAACACTACCCTCTTCTTGCCAGCCTTTCCATTCCAGCTGATGCAGTCGCCATCTGACCCTCCTTTCTGCTGGCTGCTGAGGCAAGGCCGCAGGGGCTTGTAGAGCTGCTGCCTGTGGCTACAGGAGGTGGACTGGTTGACGTGGTTCTTGGCCCTCTGCAGCTCCTCATAGGAGCTGAGGAAACCTCGGAGAGGAGGTGGAGAGTGGCTGATGTAGAATCTCATAGTCATGTCCACTGGCATTACTGGGCCAGGCATTACAGAAGAACCGAAAGACGTGAGCACACTGAGGGAGAGAGCGAGGAAGAGAAATGAGGTGGTGTTGGAGGGTATGATGACAGAAGGAAAATTTGAAAACATGATGACAACACTGCCCAAATTCTGCCCATTAAAAAGTCCCAGTTTAACAAAATGTGCATCTGGTAACTATCCGGATCAAGTTTAAACAGCTTGAAAACTATCACACACGCAAAAAGTAATACAGATATTTGACATGCGTCACTGCTGGAAACCTTAACCAAACTCTTTCTGTGATACTACTCACCTTGCTGCACTCATGGAAAAAAGAAACAAAGAGCTGCGAGGAGAGAAGAGTGTAAAACTGTCCCTTTCACTTCAGCTCTGTACAGCAGCTTTTCTAAAAGTGCGTGCTCTTGTCACGCCCCCTTCTCTTCTACCTCTCTTTCTCTCTTCCTGGCTTTCACTGCAAGAGTTGCTCAGCACTCAGGGCTTTCAACTGCGACACAGAGGACATTTGCATATCATCCCTCAAACAGCCAGTGAGAAGTTAGTGGGATTCCTTCCCAGCCAATCAGCACAGACTTGACCTGGCTGCTGTCCAGCTCAAAGGGGCGTGACGCCTGCATGGCCCTCAGGGCTGGGATACCTCAGCCTGTTGCCTCAGCTGCTATTTGAGAAACATGATGGACCCCTGCTGGTGATGCTCTTCAGATGAGTTAGTGCAGAGTGCTGCTTCAACCCTCTGGCATGACTCCTGCAGCCAGTCGCAGCAAGAGGATTTTAGTGACTCTGTTGATTTGTGCAATCCACTGAAAAGATGATCAGACTTATTCTGAAATTGATTTACATATATATGGTGAAATTCTAAATCCAGTACAAGGATTTCTAAAATTTTTATTAAGAATATGAATATCAAATCAGTACTGCTTGTTGGGCATGAGCTCGTGTCAGTTAGGTGAAATATCTAATGGCATTTTAATGCCTTAAGTGCTGTATAAATAATTCATGACACTGAACTCACAGGTTTTTCTTCTTTAGCCTTCAAGCTACAAAGTCTGTCAGAACAGATCAGACCAAACTACAGTTCATAAGACATTGTCCCTGATGACTGAAGACTTTAATACACACTTAAGTTTTAAAATGTTCACTTAAGCATATTCAAGTGAAAGCTGAGGGTTTCACATTCCTTCTCCCAGTTGCTGTTGTGAGTTAGTCGTGTTGTTTTCATTGATATTTCAGCTGTGGGTTAAACGTTATTCTCAAAAATCTCAAGTGGAGCAGATGTCTGTGGAGATGGAATGGATGAACATTCTGTATCGGAAAACAGTCACACTGTGAAATCTAAGCTGTCGTCTTCAGCGGATTGTTGATCATTTAGCAACAAACCCAAGAGCTGAAAACCCTGTTTTTGTCATAGTGGTTTAAGGTTTGTGTGTATTATCACATGGATTTTAGTGTGTGTGTATAATTTCTATTCAGTCATCTATTTCTACAGCTGACCTATAGGCCCTTATTAGGCCTTAAGGCCCCAAATCCTTTCTGTGCTTTTAAGGTATTGGATTTACTGTAGGTTTCTTTTCATTAGAGCAAAATACAAACTGCTTTGTCACCTTTACAAAATGTTGGAGTGCACACAAACCAGGTTTCAGATTTCATATTTGTAAGTGCAGAATCAGCTTTGACAGCATAATACATACGTGCACTCGTTTCTCAGTCTGCGCTCGCACCTTATCCACCAGGGTTTGTGTGAAAGTCGGTCTGTGCCACACATTGTGAAAACTCACAAAACAAGTTTCTGCTGTTTGTATTTCAGAATATGAGAGCGCGCAGGCACAGATTTGTAAGAGCAGAAACAGATTTAAAAACGAGAAAGGGCAGTGTTGTGAGCATAACAGATGAATTCAGCAAGACCAGGGCTCCTCCATCACTCTTAAATCTGATTCTGCTCTTACAAATGTGTTTGTGCGCTCTCAGATGCAGAGCGAGTAGTGCTCAGTGTGGTTTGTGCCCCTTCTAATGTTTGGCTGGGATTTACTTCCATACATTCCTCTTGTTACTCATCACTGAAGGGTTTTTTCCCTCTGCTGCCTCTGTGTACTTCAGAATCATCAGCAGGGAGACTTTGGCCTCAGATTACCGAGCACGCCACTTTCACCTGCTCAAAACAAAAACATATGGTATTTATCACAGCCTTCAGTGGCTCTGTGTTGCCAAGATCAACCTCATGATTGCAACAGAGTAAATATTTCTTTATATAGCAACACATCCAACTAAGTAAATTTTGCAGTCAGTGAACTATCAAACATTTCAAAACACTGATACAAGGTTCTTATTAAAAGAAAATTAAAGTAAATGTTATGGTTCATAAAGAGATTTTATTTTATAAATGTCATTAGGTTCATATGTCAAATAGTTTTCTCAGTTGGTTTTCTAAATTGAGCCTGTGTATCGTTCTGTTGAAGCGATTTTCTGGCTAAACTTCGGAGGACTCTGTTTTATCTGATAGGGTCAGTTGTTGGTTTTGGTGGTGATACAAAAGTGGGATTTCCATACTTAGCTGTTGATTCTCTGAAGTCGATCATGCACGGCTCGTGTGATTTAGCCAAATATAGAAGTGTGGGGTTTCAAGGTAAGCCTAGGAAACAGAGGTTCAACATACAGAGGGTGCAGCTGTGTGAGTGCAGAGGAAGCAAAGGTTACATGAAGTGAATTATGAAAGGTGGCGCTGGAGAAAGGTGTTGAGTCAAGAGCTTCCACAGGTTGTGACCGTAGACTAAAGAACATTCATCGATTAGAGCCACCGGCTTTGGGTGCTGTTTGTACCGACTTTGGTACAAAGCACCTCCAGTAGCTGCAGCTGTCAGTTCTTCATGTCAAATGAATTGACAGAAGGTCAGTGGCTCGATTCCCATTCTCCCCGGTCCACTTGGGTAAGACACTAAACCCCATGTTGGCCCCGATGGCCAGGCCCTGCAGGGACAGAGTCCTATCAGAATGTGTGTGTGTGTGTGTGTGTGTGTGTGAGTCGGTGCTGCAGATGGCTGCCCTGGCTCTGTAGGGACACATGGTCCTTGTGTGTGTGTGCAACATACCTGCCCAATAAAAAAATATATTTATTATAACAAACCTGAAAAAAACACTGCTACAGCCTTTCAGCTTTCTCTTCATCTTGGTTTCTCTCAGGTTAAATTCAGTGACCTTTACTGGCCGGCCTGTTCTGCTTGTGTACATATTGCTAAACCAGAGTTTTGTGAAAGAGGGTTTAAAAAAGCATAAAAAGTCAATCTTAGCAGTTAGATAAACATTTGTATAAGAGATATTTTTGCAACACTTGTTGAACCAATATAAATTTTGATAATGAGGAAGATGAGAACGTTCTCAGTCTGCAGTGCACATATTAAAATCCAAAGCATAATGAAAATGGAAAGTGGCTAAATGCTGTACTATACATCTACTCATTTCAGAGGAAAATTATATTTCTTAAATTATATTTAATATCTAATATACAGTACATTGCAGATTTAGATCTAAGAATAATAAAATATTGTTACAAATAATCAAATGTAATATTAAGCAGTCAAAATAACCTCCACCTGCACCATCTGCAAAATTAGAATGCTGTTTAAGTAATACTAAAAATGTAAAAGTATATAAACTCTGAAAATGCACATTCATACAACGAGTACTTGTATTACTGAGACTTAACATTTTCCAGTACTTCTATACTTAAAGGTACAATTTTACATGCAGAAACTTGTAATAGACTATATGAATACAATGGTGTTGCAACTTTGAAGTAGCAGATACTTCTTCTAGCCCTAAGTGCAGGTTCCAGTTCATGTGACTGTGATTTGAAGTTGTTTCTTTGTTGGTGAAATCTGGCCTGGGAATCTTATGAAGACCATTCTGTGTCAGTTCATTTAAACTGAAATCCTGGGCAGTACCTCAGAAACCTTAGAGATCTAAAAACAGCAGCAGGCTTGTGGTGCTTGCACTAAGACAGCAAGGCAACCATACAAGCAGAGAGAGACCTCGTAACATTGCTGGCTCTTGTGAGAGGCCTGGGCTGCCAGCTGGCACTGTGACAAATCACGTTGCAGCCACTCTATGGCCTGCAGACAAAAGGGATCAGGAGAGGCCATCTCACACCACCACTGGTTGAAAGGAGTCACATGAGCTACAGAAATCTAAGATGTTGACAGCTCTGAGGTTGTATGACTATTTCCCATGAGCACTCCAAACCAGCTGAGTGTAATATCAGGTATACTTCTATAAGAGTAAAAATAGCCAAGATTCCTTCCATGCATTGTTGTATTTTCGACTCATGTCATTACTTCGATCAATCAGTGGTCAAGGGCAAACTATCAGCTCTAAGTGATTAATTGCTCCAACAAACTACAACTCACAATGCCTTTCAATCTGTTCATTATGAGGAAGTAGCTGACAACGTTGGAATAAATGGAGGAGTTATAGATGTGTTTGTGTTTTGGGAGGATTCAAAGTGTAGTTAAACATCAACTCTTATTTTGGAAGTAACTCTACTGCAGAATATGATATGGATATTTGTCTTCATTTATAATCATCATAATAAAACAGGTGGAACAAAGATAAAACTAAATATATTTATTCTCCTAGTGGGGTCAGTTGCTCAGAGATGCACTTCTAACAAAGCAGTGTGTCCTTGTGCCACATATTACAGAAATAGGTTGTAGTGCAGCGATCAGGTAGAGCCAATAGGTCATTAGAGGGCCGTCATGTGAGACAAGGTGTTTATTGTCAGCTTCAGAGGAGGAAGTCACAAGCAGGGAGACGTTAAAACAATCACATGGATTCTGATCTGACCGTCTTGACGGCGCTCGCACAGTCATATAGTCTGGAGTATATGATGTTCTATCATGTGACCAGTGCAAAACTGGAAGAAAACAAACATCTGATGGTGAAGAAAACTGGTCATTTACAACAAAGACACTGACACGACATGATTCAGGAACTTCTGTTGTTAAGAGCCGGCAGCAGAATCAACGGACAAGGCAAGAGCCTCAGTTTCTGACCAAATTACAAACTGGTTACGTGACCGAGTCATGTCCCACTTCCTGTGCCCTTTTCCCAGGCGTGCCCCTCACACATACACCAGAGTAAACATGAGAACACGTCTGACATGGTCTACCTCCTGCTGTGTGTTACATGTGTGAAATGGCACCTTTCAACAGGGTCCAGGCCTGATTCCACGGACTCAGTCTGGGGTTTCATGTGTGAAAACGGCTCTGCAGGGAAACTTCAGCTGGGAATGTAGCTTAAAGCTTTAGCAGAACACCTGCATCTCCAGCAGCAGTCTAATCAGGCAAACACCTGTGTGAGCTGCAAAGTCTTGTTCAACCAGTTGGTTTATGTTGCAGGAGAGTTACTATGTAAAGTGACACTACTTAGAGGAAAAGGAGTGTTTGTTTAGA